AATTCTAAATAGAGATATCAGAACAAACACATTTTTGATGACAGTGGCTTTAAGACCCCTTAGAGGTGAGAGATCCAAGTCATGATAGGGTGCACCTCGTCTCTGAAGTTAATTGAAGAGCAAATGAGAGGGAAGGCTAATATCTGTGGAGTTGTATTGTTTCTGAATTCCTGGAAAATATGTAGCACTGTCTTAATAGTGAGCTTCCAAAAAACCTGAAAGGATTAGATTGAGGGAGAGAGAAGAGATAAGAACGATTAGATGGCTGAGCAGCCCAGTGGAGGGGGTAATTGCTCACTATAATTGAGGAGGAAGATCAAAAGAACTTGACACGAATGCTTGACTTAAAACAGTGGGAGGAATTATGAAGAGACTTCAGAAAAGGTAATTAATAAGGGGAAAAAAAAATTGTCTGTTTTGTAGCTGGAAGAAGTCATTTAGACATTGAGCTGGTCTAAAAGCCTTCTATACTTTATCCTATAGAAAGGTAATTCATCATCCCTCCAGTCATACATGAGAATTTGATGTAGGGCGCTCGGGCTGCTTGCTCTTTGGCAGAGGAGCAAACCACGTTTCATGTTGCATCAGCTTATGAGAGACCATGGCAAACGACATGCAAACTACTAAATTAGTAGTTCTACCCCAATACTTAATGGACCAAAATTATAGAATTGGGTAGTTTTGAAGATAAAAAAACCAGCATTATAAAAAGGTGGGAGAGAGAAAGGTTGGAAAGGGTGATACAGGGGGATGAAAACTCTTGTTGACATTTTTGAGCTGTGGAACTGCCCCGTGAGAGCAACATATGCTAAATTAAAGTCTAAAGACTGACGTGCTTGCTTATGTTGAGTAAGCACTTTGATCCTGTTGATTTTAGTGTACTAATCTATGTTCATGGTATTTTACTCCTTGAGGTACTTAAAATCCCTGGTTTCAGTGACTCACTTGAGGAGTAATCCTGCTTTACTGAGGAGAAGTATCAGAAAACAGCAAGGCTGTTTATGTAAATTCAGGCGGTATTGTGTTTCTGTCCTTTACCAATGGCTTTGGTGTTACTTATAACTCAGGAGAGGTTTAAGGATTCATTTTCACTAGGGCAGAATGTATCACTGACTCCCTTATAAGACAAATTAGATCAGAGGCTTGCAGAATAATGGTTTCACACTAGCTGTCCAAATGTAAAAGCCCCGTGACTGGTACGGAGTGTGTGACGGTGTGCTGGTTTTGGCTGGGATAGTGTTAATTTTCTTCATGGTAGCTAGTATGAGGCTATGTTTTGGATTTGTGCTGAGAAGAATGTTGATAACAGTGACATTTTAGTTGTTGCCAAGCGATGCTTACAGTAAGCCAATGACTTTTTCAGTTTCTCATACTGCCGTTTCCCCAGCTTCTCTACAAGAAGCTGGGAGGAGGCACAGCCAGGACAGCTGACCCAAACTGACCAGAGGGACATTTCAGACAGCAAAGAACTTGCTGTCTTTGAACTCCTTGTCTTTGTCATGCCTTCCTGACTGATGGCACGTCTTCAACTCCATAGGTTTGCACCACCGTGGACTGCACTCCTATTTCTGTGTGCTGAGGAGCAGAGATGGCATCAGATCACTCAGTCTTCTGCCATGTCTCTGCCCAACTCTGACTGTAGGGTTTCCTGAACAGTTTTCTGACAGCAGTGAGAAAGTCAGTGAGATATGCCCTGCATCCTATATATGTGTAGACATACACCTACACAGAGAATTCACGATAAGAGCCTGGTATGTATGTAGATGTGTGTGTATATGCCTATATATATATATACACAAATATAAATCAGAAGTCATCCTTGAAAATCACTTGTGTTCCCTCTTGGCAGGGCTTCTGTTCCACTTTTTTCTCTGTTCAGTCTTTTTTCCCAAAGCAGCCACCACGCCGTGAGTTCTTTTGGAGATGAGCATTGCACTTTGGGCTGGGTGGGAGGGCAGTGAGAGTCTTGTGTAGGACTCCTTCTGGATGTGACAATCAAAGGAATATGTAGCTTTTCATTTCCCAGGAAAGAATTTATGCACATTGTTTGGAAGACAAAGACAGATCAGTAGATTGTGTGTGATGGTGGGATTTGAGATCATGGCTTGACTCTGGGCACTACTTTTCTTTTTTTTTTTTTTTTAATGTTGTATCAGAAGCAGTGGTTGTCTGCAGTCCTGGTACAGAGCTGGAGGGTCGTGGCTACATCTGCATCTGTTCCCTTCTGCAGAGGATAAAGCACAAGACTGCTAATAAGAAGCTATATCACTCGCTTTTTTAGCTCCGGCACACCCCTTTCCAAAAGGCCTGTAATGCTTAACCAGATCTTACTTGCATTTCTTCTGCTGTGGCAGAGTGGACAAGCCGGTGCTCAACCCCCGAGTGATTGGTGTTTTGGGAACAGGTCAGGGTAGGCAGCGGGCACTTCCCAAACTGTTGCCCCAAGACCTCCCTGTACTGGAGGGGAGACAGTGCTCGGAGCGAGGAGCTGCCGTACGTGTCCTGGCACACCTCAACGTGCACAGGGCACTATGTCACCTGCCTTCCTCCATCCCTTTGGATTTAATTCCTGCACAGCAGCAAGACCAGGGCTGCATTACAAACATTTAAAATTGAGAAAAATGTTGCCACATGCGTATGTATTTTTAGTAGGGGGTTGAGTTCACTTTTTGGGGTAGAAATGGGTTTCCTACCCACGGTTTCTGTGCTGTGCTTGACTCAAATGCCCTGACTGGCACCTGCAGTTATAGCATCCTCAGCTGACAGCAGGAGACCATTTGCATGTTTTGCTCTCATTCCTTGCATTTCGTGTCTGGAAAGCAGATAATTTTCTGGGAGACGGTAAGTGGCACTGAGAACAGCAGAATAAGGAGTCTAGGGGCAGGTTGTGTCTGTTTGCAGGAAAAAATTAATAAATGATGTGTCAGGATGGAGTAGTGTGAACATAAGTCTCTTTTGATCTTCACCGCTGGCTTACGAATCATGTGAATTTAAACAGATTTGATTATACCTCAATCTATTAGCGATACATACTGTCATTACAGGTCTTTTGCATTTCTGCTTGTAAAGCCCTATTTAACATACAACAGTCAAACTGTCATCAGTCAGCCAGAGATTTATTGTTCAGGCTGCTGTTCATCACGTGCCTTATTTCTTCCCAGACACTTCTAGGTTTGTATATGAACCTTTATCGTTCGTTAATGAGGGTTGTGGGGATTTGCAAAAGTGAGATCGAGTTCACCTTGGCATTGATGAAATGTCAGTAGCGATAAATACAGCACTTGCTTTGCAGTGGAGGAGAGGTCATTTCCTTAATGAGTTAACATAGAAAGGTAACGAAGAAGCTATCACAATTGTCTTTGATACATGCATGAACTTGTTATTTAACTTTGTTTCCGTACGTTATCATCCATGGTGATTTCTGTTCCGAGGCACCCACAAGCGTGTTAATGCGACCCAATTCCCAGCTGTCTGCTTCTATGGAATGAAGTGACTATTTTCAGATGTAGCCTTCCACTTAAATTCTATCAATATCTGGTGTAACTATAGATTACCCTTTATTTGGTATATAATCTTCAGCCTGTTCTCTGGGGTACTTGAATCACGTAGTAGATTTTGAAAACAATTCAGTATTGCCGTAGATGCTAGACGATGTCGGTCTTCGTGTTTGACTTTGGAGGGACTTTGTCACATCGTCTGTGGCTCTCATCCACATCCTCACAATAGATGATTTCATATATAGTTTTGTGAGGGATTGTTCAACAGTACAGGCACAGCAGGCTGGACTGATGGTGAAATGATAAAACAGTCCTCAGAATGAAAATAATAACAATAAAAAAAATAACCCGGGACTCCATAAAGAAGTGGTTGTACAGAGAAAGGGCAGATTCCTCACTGTAAATATTGGAGCTGGTAGAAAATCAAGAATATAGTGAGTAATATGCCAACTGTGAATTTTAAACAGGGCTTTAACTAGTTGGCATTCACTCTCAGTGTCTGCTCAGTGTACAGAAGTGGTGGAGGTTGAAGGAGAGGCTGAGTATGGCTTGGAGCAGGTCCCTGCCAGGCCAGGGGCTGGGGGCCAAGGTGGCTGGCCTGGGAGGTTCCTGTCTGCTCAGGAACTAATTTTTGGGGTAGTCATGGGGGCATGTGCTGTAAAAAGTTAGCATTTTAGAATAAACATGAAAATCTGTGGCTATAACTTCAGTTAGGCTTTAGGGGTCTGTTTTGATTCAAACTGCTGCTGAGTAGAGAATTTGTTCGATAAAGTGGCCAAAATCCTGGTGAGGATGAGCCTGAAGAAAGCTCAGCTGCAGATCCACATCCATGTTGGCAGCAGCGGCCTCACCTCGAGTGAGTTGTGATGTCTTTTCCCGTAGTTTGGAAGCTGAGCTGGCTGCATCGTCCATACCGTGCTGCGATAACGTGCGATGTGTGCAGCAAAGCTACGCTTGCATTTTGGACTACTGCTGTTAAGTGCTGCTGGAGGTTTATTACCATTTAAAATAGCAGTCGGATGAATGATGAGTTTATCTGGGGGTTTGCTGTATACTCCCGGGGATGGAGAAGTATCTTGGTGCAGTGCAGCTGCAGGGCTGCACAACAGCTTTTGTCCCAGGACGTTTCACGCTACATTGTGAGGCACAACCCACCGCGCGTCCTCCTCGGTGCGTGACTTACTGAAATTCACTTGGCAAAGGGAGCCAAGGAGTAAGTTCCATTAAGATGGACAGGAAAGACAATTAGAGACACTGGCTGTGAACTCCTGTTAATTTGTGGGGGTGTATTAATTTCCACGTTTAGTGCTGTGGCTTATCCTACTTCATTCTCCCCGTGGCACCAAGGAGCGAGAGCGTGATCCACAGCCTGCCTGATGTCCCAGCCCGGGGGGCGCGAGGGCAACAGCGAGCCTTGCTGAGGGGCTTGTCTGCTGGGGGACCCTCAGCATGGTCACCGGTCGTACTGGGCGCAGGGCTGGTGTCCAGCTGAGATCTGCGGCGATGATACGTCTTAGCAAAACGCAGTGGGTTTTGGCAGCGCAGCACCGGAGCGCGGAGGAGCGCGTGCATCGTGCAGCCCGCTGCTTTGCCTGGCGGAAGCTGCTTAACGGCGGGTTACAACTGGGGATCTGGAGGTTAGTTCAAGAAATCAAAAGAGGCTCAGGGCGATGTCGTAACGTGAGATTATTACATGTTGTTGAACGTGGAGCCAGACTTGGATTAGAAAAGATGTTACCACAGCTGAAAAAAAATGGCTTATCAGTATTTTTCTAAATTGGAACAGAAATTGCAAATTCTCCCCAGGTGACATTTAATTTACATAAAAAGTAATAAATTAAAAGTTTGCTCATCTATTATTCCGCAAAAGAAGGTGCAGTGCATTGCTGGCGTTGGGCTTTGCTCTGACTGTATGACTGAACTTGTTCCTCGTGTGACGTAAACCCGCTCACGAGCGGCCAGAAACTTTCCCTGCGCTGCGCGGAGCTGCAGCCCTGGGGCAGGGGGCTTTGCTTGGAAGGGGACCCCACTGTGAGCCCTTCACGGCTGAAGGGCTGAACCCCTGTGCAGAGGTGCTATGTCTTTAGAGGTTTATGTGCAATTCCAAATGCCCTGTTTTCACCCAGCTGAAATGAGGGTTTTCTGTTTTTAGCCCATCGCGTCGTATGTAGTAGCAGATTGCCTCTAGGAAAAGCTCAGTGCTGTGATGGGAAAGCAGGCTCTCGCATTAATCCAGACTGATCTATACGGATTAATGTATTGATTTTAGCCTTAGATAACGGGAGAGTTTCTTGCGGGGTGATGGGGATGAAGAGGCGTACAGACGCTGGTGATGCAAAGGTCTTTGTTCAGTTTGCTAAAACTCGTTACAGTGAGTCTTGCATAATCTGGTATTATGCAATTTCATTAAGAAGAAAAGTTGAATATATCTAAGGGTGGTTCCTATAATTACTGAATTTCTTTGAAAACTCAATTAAGAAGCCATCTGGCCTGGGGATTTTATTGACCTGTCACTGGCTAATTATGTTGAAAATTTAATCTTTTATGATTATCATTAGTGACTGCCCGTGCTTTGAAATACCCTTTTTGTCTCCAAGTGTTGCCATCTTTAAATTTCAGAAAGTAATGAGGGGAGTGTTTTTATAACATTAGAGGAAATGTTCTCTTAAGAGTGAAATCCAATATATTATAAATATAATTGAAATGCGCAGCCGTCAGGAAATGCAAAAGCATGTTTTTAGAGCCCTAATTCAGTAAACACATGGAAGGGCTTGAATATGTATGCCCTTTCCCATAAAAATACCATGAGACTGTGGGGTTTGGGGTTGTAATTTCTGTGCTTGGACAGACGGCGATGTCCCGTGTCCTTCACCTCTCAGTGTCCCTTCTTCACGCAGAGCATGTCCCAGGTCCTGCAGGTGTCCGCAGGCTGGAAATGAGCCAAACTTGTAGACTGGTGTTTTTGGGAAAAATACTCTTGGACTGTGGTTGTCATCTTGGTTTTGTTGCATGTCTGCGTGCTGCCGGTGCTTCCCTGTAGCTGCCAAGTCCCTGGTGCGCTGAGCAGCACTGGCCATGTGGGCAGTGGCAGAATAATGGATTGGGAATAATGAATCTCTATGTGACGTATGAATGGAAATTCAAAGTATTCTGAATTTTAAGTGATGGCTGGGAGATGCCCAGCCTGTCTGTTCTGCTGGAGCAACAGCCCAGGGATGCTGGAAGGGTGTTCTGGGACACCCTTCTGTTCCTTGATCTGGGTTATGTCTGTGAGCTCCAAACACCCCTTTGGCTGTAGCCTAAACATGGGCATCAAATGCAGCACATGCCTGGGGAGAACCCAGGCGTGAGTCTCCCTGCCTGTCCCACGTATCCATCCAGGCAGTGTTCCTGGGCCACTACGGAGGGTTTTGGCTTTGGGCAGGCTGAGTCCAACCTGTCCCCATCAGTCACCCAGAGACAGCGTTTCCTTTCTGGAACACCCCCTGTCAAACTCCATCCCCCTTTTTTCTCCTTTGGCTCTGATGATTTCCCATCCTGCCCTTGCATCCCGCAAAGAGTTCTTCCATCATCTTACTATTAATTATGGATAGTATGACAACTTTCTTGAGTGTAAACCAATTAAAATAAATTACATTCCAGTGGGCATTAGGGCATATCACTTTCATTTTCCACACAGCTTGCTAGTGGGAGCTCCTTCCTCCTTGGGGAATTTCTCTGCCTGTCTTGCATGGACACCTTCCTGTGGCATTGTTTTACGTGGAATATTTCCAGTATTGGTTATTTCTTAGCACACGCCTTCTCGCTGCTGCCATCATTTTGGAAGCCACATGGATATGAGCTGATAACCATCACTGCAGACCCTGGGACCGCCTGGGTGATAGAGGAATTTTTTTATGTTGGGTCCTCCACAAACAGGTGGGTTTTGGCAAATTAAGTACTGTAAGGAAAAGGTTTTCTGTTACGTCCCACTTACTCCTATCAATCAGGACAGACACTTCTGTATAAGCAATAATTTATCAAAGGAAAGTACTGTGCTAATCTAATATCATTTGGTAAACCCATGTTGCCTTATATCCCGTTTTCCAGGTGTTCTTGCCTTTTAAAATCCCTTTTGAAGTCTCGCTTACGTTTGAGGTCAGACTAACAGGTCCCACTCTCCCTCCATGGCTTAAATATAAATGATGCGTTAGGAATTCTTCAGTGAAATATGTGAAAAACCTCAGTTTACCAGGTTAACAGTATGAGTTCTGGGTTTGTTTTGCGATATATTGGATTAAAAAAATGTTTACCTATTAATGACTTATTATCCACTGGAGTCCTTTAATATGAATTGCTATTACCAAAGTAGTACTATTTTATCTGGGTTTACAGTTAGCCTTCCTCCACTGGCTCCTTAGTGCAGCTAATTTAGCAAAATTGCATTTAAATGAGTCCCTGATGAGAGACCCAGAGTTCACATTTTTCTTTTAATAGACATGTTAGTCTTCCTGCATGCTTAAATTCCATAAATGGCTCTTTACTCTTCACATGCAAGACAGCTATTATATATCAGCCAGAGCATTATATTCCTGGCCTCACCTTGGGGAATTACCGAGTAGTCATGGCGCTTCTTTGAGCTGAAAGACAGACTTTTTAAATTGGATAATTTATATTTATATAGTGGTCGTTGTCCTTTATCAGAGAAGTCTTGTAAAAAAGCTTCTTTCAACAAAGTTAATTTCAAAAAATAAATTAATTCAATACAAATAAGATTATGTCTTTCTTCAGGCTGACGACTTTGAAAGTTAAATTGTTTTAATTTTGGGCTTGCTGTGGGCAGCCTATTACATAGTCCTGTGAAATCCCACAGTTGATGTGTGAAATACTTTAACTGGTGAAAATAAGGGGATGATGCAGGGCTTCTCTCCCCTTCAACCGGTTTGACTTCTGTGAACATAACTTTCTGACTAGGGATGAAAAAACACGTGAGCACAGTGGGTAAACCTGTCCTTTCTCTTTAGGCAGGGTAGCAGTAGGTAGAAAAGCCAGCTAGAATAAAAGGAATGAGCCCACAAAGTCCTCTGTAGGGTTTTGCACCGTTTCATGTGTAAGAGGAGCATCTGCTCTGCAGGCGTGCTGATTTTAATAGCAAAAGTTGTAAATCAAATTAAAATATTCCTCTTATCCCTGTCTGACCAGTGGAAGTCTGCAGTGGCTCTTTGGTGTTGGGAGGAAGAAAACTTGCTTTTCTCTAGTGGATTTCTACCCATGGCAGTTGGAGCTGGGGTTTGTGCTTTGCAGGCTGGAATATTTTCTAGGAGTTCAGTGCAATGATCACAGTGTGAACCCAAAGTCGGACCCTGAACCAGCCCCACGTCTGCTATGAGAACCAGCCATTGCTGATACAGCCTTAACTCTCTGTACTTAGAATACAAAGAATGGGGGTTTGTTCTGATATCCAGGTGCAGGCCCTGTGTTTCTTGCAGCTGTCTATAGAAACATGTGGAGGAATTTGCCTTTTATATGTGAAGAAAAGAAATATTAAGGCAGTTGCCACCCTGTTTGCAAGAGGAGGGGGCTTTGCATCCTTACAGGACTTTTTTTCAGGTGGTTCTTGGCAGAGACAAAATGATCTAAAGGTGGCACACTCTTTTGAATTTTCTACCTGAAGTAGCTAACATTGAATTTAGTAAAAAAAAAAAAAGAATTAATAATGTCAAGGGATCAAGGGAAATACTTTATGAATTCCTATGAATTTTGGTTGGATGTATCCATTTGGGAAAAGTTCTACACAAAGAAGTTTCATCCTGGTATTTCAAAGGAGAGCATTGATTTATTTTATTTTTCCTATTCCAAATTGTTTTATTTCTAGTGTAACAATCCTATATATTAAGGGCTGGTATTGATCACAGGCGTCTCGTGAACCATGTTAAATTGGCTTTGGCAGATGGTGATGTCTGTATGAAAAGAAAATACAGCAACATCCTGCTGCAAAGAGGGACTTTGCTGTCGTTGCCTTTCCTGCCGGGTGGGTTTCTGTGACAGCCTCCGGTGACCCTTTTATGGTTTAAGTTACATGTTGCCACCAGAACAATTTGTTTGCAAAGCGGGTGCCTGCTGCTGTGCCCAGATTTTCGCTGCACTGTGAAGCTGGTGCCGATTCCCGCAGCGCACCAAGTCGTGTTTGCAGGGTACACACTCTCCCATTTGGCATGTGCTCCCAGGGAATGCAGATAAATGTCCCCTGCTCCTTATTTTGGGGGTTTCCTATATGTCTTGAATACCATGCTGGCAGCAGGTATCCTTTCCATGGGGCACCCTTTGGATGCAGGTCCCCCCGATGCCATCCAGGCTCCCGCAGCAGCTCATCAGTCAGGTCCAGGCGTAATTAGTGATAATCCAAGGTTTTACTTTGTTTAGACTGATGCAATCTTTTAAATTTTATAAATCAGAAGAGACCATTTATCTTATTCCCCAGGCACAACTAATGACTAATTAAAAACCATAATTAACTGGAGCAAGACCGTGAGAAATTGCAAGGCAGCAGAAACGCAGCTCCCAACCACCTGGAAGAGCCTCCCCCGATACTTGCGCCCCAAGGGCTGGCATGAGAAAGGGGCTGACATAGGCAGCATAATGACCTTTTTTCCTACTGTTTGCACTCAAACATGAACGTTTAGTATATAAATAGGATTATT